TCCATTTGCTTCTTAGTCCTGTAACTACCGTTTGAGTTGAACTCATCAAATTATTTCGTAACTTATCAGGTAGGTACTTTTCATCAATTTCTCCATCTGTTGTCTGTCTTGTACAACTGCTTTTTCAAAGTATCAAAATTTTTAACTAATCTGAGAGTTCTGTGTTCAATATATATGTGGGTAATTTCTGAGCGTAGTTGCAATCTCCTGTTAACTAACATCATTTCACATTCTCAGGCACGTTACAAATTGTTCTGTACATACACTGCATGAAGAAAATTTGTGTCATCTGTGGCTAACGAGAGATCAACTAAATAAAATGAAATCACCTTGGCTAGGGGTAGCGTTATGTCGTGAATTGGTAGAAGTTAGAATTCATGGGCCATTGGATTGGGTACCAGTGGTTTAATGGTATGCCAGGTCGCCTTGTAACCAGAAGGTCCTGGGTTCGAACCCCGGTGGGTGTGTACCACTGAAGAGTCCCAAACTAGGCTGAGAAAACAGCTGTCCAGTACGCCCAGCTGGTTTTCCAATGGTTCTCTAACCAATGTCAGCTCATGATGAAAATCCTGAAATCACCTTATTCTGTTCCAGCCGTTATTCCTGCTTTATACAAAATTTTACCTATATTGTCCGTTGTTAACAGTTTTCTGTATTCAGATTTATTAAAACCTTTGTCTAAATAGTTTTACACAAATATTTGTTATTATGTTGATTTACAGTAATTTGGGATAAATTAATTTCCTACAACCTGTTTGATGTGCGGAAACCGCAAAAACGTATGAAGTTGAAACTGGGAAGAAACATTCATTCCAATTGGTAAACTGTTTCAATGATGTTGAATAAACAAGCTAAAAGAAAATTAAGCGTAACAGAATACAGAATTCAAAAATATAAACACATAATGATAGGATAAACCAGCTGTCTTCACGATGTTAAATCATCCAATCACTGAGATACAAAAATATCTGGATAATGAATTACCACTTAACACGATCATTATTGATGATATTTGTTTCATTCAATCTACTGATTGTATGGATTATTTATAAAACTGATGTTCGACGTGATGACTGTTTTTCGAGTAAGTACTCAGTATGTTACTGCTAGATAATGACTTAATTGTTCCTAATTTTTACTACACAAACCTTTATTTATGCGATATGGATACGTAATTATGGAGTATGAAGAGGAAGTTACTGAAAAGAATATTCTTTGCTCACTGATTTGTGTTTTAATTATTCTGGGAATCACTTAAACAACTAAAGTGAGTAAAATAAATGACTCTGGGAACTGGTATTGAATTTTGCTGTTTCGATATTTTATTGGCAGTTGAGTGGTCCTAATCAATTATTCAAGAAGAGATAGTTTCTGACACAAATTACTTCTCAACTAATTACTGTTCAGGCTTACAGTTGTAATTCAATGATATTTATAAAGTAATATTTATAACACAGTGTTTTAAGCAGTGCTTCCTTTATAAGTATGAACATTAATACTACCAGGTATGTCGGAATACACTATAATATCTGATTTATGCTACTATATTCTCAGTCTGTGTACCCCCTTTCACACTGTTTAAGCGATTCTGTCTGACTTTTCACTAACAGGTTTGCTACCTCGCATGCACCTGGCTTCAGACTAGACTGCTGGTATGCTAATTTGGTAAACTTTTAAACAGGTTACAAAGTCTTACCCTTATTTCTATTTTTTTATTCCTTCACGTTCCCAGTGGAACACAGGGCTTCAAGCTAGAGGCTTGAAGTGTTTATTTTTACAGGATGGGGTTGCTAGCCTCATGCCCAACCTTTCCTCTTTACCAGCTTTATTTCTGGCTTAGTGAGGTAAAGGAGTGCCGCCTTTCTATGCATTTGGTGTGTAAGATTATTGGCGTACAACCTCGAGTGGTTGGTCACTTGGCTTGTGTGCTTGTGATGAGTGCTTATAAATTACCGTTAACGCATAGAAATTATAGGACTGTCCATTGAAGAGGTTGCAATGCAGCAGTCAAATAAAGAAAAGAATATAGAAAAAGAACTAAAATGTTGACAATCTTAAGCCTGTGCTTTTGAATTTAGTGTCAGTTTTAAATTTCATTTTAAACATAAATAAAAAATTCAAGATGTCAAAATAGAGACATTTAGCTTTTTTGTTTCTTAATCTACATATTCTGCATATATTTCCTTCATTTGTTATCGATAAAATATTTCTTAAGTAGAGCAAAAATAGTTGAAGTTCCATGTGTTAGTTCGACTTTGACTTCTGTTTTACAAGTCTACTTCAAAATAAGTCACTGTAATTTTATGTAATTGTAAAAGCATAACTTGCACACTGTGGTAGAACATAATTACATACTATATTAGTTTATCTGGTGTGATATACATTTATACAATTTTCATATCTGGATGACGTTTCCAGCACAACTTACCGCTCATAATCACATCAATGTAATCACACAGCCTCTTAACTTGCTTTATATAGACTTATTCCGTCTTGTTCTTTTTTGATGCCATTCCCCATGTATCCAGGAGAGGCGTTACATCACATCAATCGCTCATGTTTGGTGTTGATTTGAAAAACAAAAACAGCTACATCACTATTTAATACTTTCTCCATATTCCACTCAAATGCATGATTACGTGAAGGTGATCACAATGCAGTGGTAGAGCTTTCTCCTAGGTGACTTGACTTAGTGGGAGCCTGCCACACAAACTTCCTAGCTACTGTCTGTCGACAAATATATCGTCCTCAAGAATACTGTCGTGTAAAAGTCCCTCTCTTTTTGAATTTCATGTAATGACACCTACTGTGAATCTTGTCTAGACCGGAGACATCATGATAACAAAACATGCGTGCAGGAAAATAACGTTTCTCCTTATGGAGAAGAATATTATTTAATTTCTCTTATTGTCAGTCAACACAGAGAATCAAAGGGAAAATCTTCCTTTTATTATTGAAAGTGTGAATGAAGTAGTCATTGTGATTGTGACCGATGACCACTGCCACGAGTCACTGAATATTTAGGCTTAGTTTTTGACATATGTTTCTTAAAATTTCTTACATTATTGCAAATGCCTTTGCCTTAATTAAGCTTTAGAGTGTTACTGTTGGTTCAGTTGCTTTTATATGTACATTACTACCAACGTTTGTCCACGAAATTCTGTTCTCAAAAAAAGAATAGTAAAATAGTTGAATAGTTTGTGGTGTGTAGAACTTCTCCAGTCAATCAAAGCTGAAAGTATAAAAATTGCCAGTAGCAAAGTAAATGAATTATTATTATTTCATTGGATTCCTAGTGGAACATAGGGCTTCAACAACACATCTCCACTTTGTTCTATTTTCTGCTGTCCTCTGTAGCTGAGTCCGCGATTGCCCATAATCTCTCATCTCTTCGTCTCACGATCTCCTCTGTGTCACCATCAGGCGATCAATTCGACGTTTCCCATTTGGGTTTTACTCCAGCAGTGGCCTGGGGTGCAACGTCACCCAACGGTCTGCTTAGCGTGTATCCGATTCATATCCATTTCCTCCTGCATATTTGTTGAGCAATAGGTTCTTCATCAGTTTGTTACAATAGTTTCTTTTTTCCGGCTGGCCATTTGATCTTCAGTATGGAGCCAGCAAAAGCAGGTGTTGATAAAAGTTTGTAACTTGTTGGAAATCCTTTTCATGATGCGCAGTGCAAGTTTCTAATCCGTATAGAAGAAGTGACTAACTGACTTCATATCGACGTTGAAAATCCGAATCTTGTTTCTTATGATGAGTGCAGAAGAATTCCAAACCGCCTTTCTGATTCTAACTGCCTTTGACATCTTCATCCATTCCGCCAGTAGTTGGAACGATGCTTCATAGCTAGATAAGTGAAGGAAGTCACCACTTTCAAATTTCTCCCGCTGATGGTGACTTGTGTTGTTTGCTGTTGCTATTGGTTGGTTATCTTTATCATTTCCGTCTTCTCTATGTCCAACTGGATTCCTGTCTTTGCTGCCCGCCTCTTCGTCTGCAAGTCTTTGGGTTGTGTTTGACATTAGACATAAATCATCCGCGAAATCCAAAAGTAACTGAATACTATGTTAAAATTCGCTCACCTTTTACACATACACTTATGTAATTACATATTTTTCTTCTGTTTATAGTAAATCCGTCCCAGTATATAAGCCATAGTATGTACAATCAAATACAGAATAATAATAAAGGTATACGCTGTAAATATTTTCGTGATGATTGTTTAAGCTTTCAAGTGGTGAATTCAAGAACATATTCAAAATTGGATTGATACTTATGACAATGTTTACAAATAAAGGTAACGTTTACACTAAAAATGTTTTTAAACATCATAAAAAATTTATGGCTTTAACTATGTCAAACAAGTGAGGTGGAATAAAATCGTTTGTTATTATATGAGCCAAGCGAATGTTCATTCTTCACAATTATCCTTATTTAAAACAAGTTAAGAGGTGTTTCATTGGTGGACTTTGTGTAGCAATGAAAAAACTTTGTCAGGAAAAGTTTGGCTGAAACTTTTCGAATCATAAAATGCTCTGTTAAGTCACAAAAATTTGTGTAGATATATTACAAAAAACTCAAATAGAGTTGGAATTAAGGTCTTTCTTTCAACTGCATGAATACCTCATCATATCAAATTGTTCTTTGTAATTAGTATTACTAACTGGTTCAGATAAATAGATGAGTTCAGTTTGCTCATTAATATTGACGAGAAAACAGCGACGTTCAAACCACGAAGTGTAGGTACATTTACCTGATATGTTCAGTCTGATATCAAACGCTAAACAGTGTCGTGTAAAACAATGTCGAAATGTTTCAAAACATTACTGCCATATGTAATTTTAAGTTTTACACACCAAGCATACAAGGTATTTTTAGCTGGAACGATAACTCAACATCTAACTTTCAATAACTTCCATAATTTATTCACACATTCATTTTGTGTAAACTTAGTAGAACGTTTTCAGAACTAATTACTTGTATTTGTATTTTAGAAATGGCTCAAAATGACTGTAGCTACGATCACTTTTGGAAAGAACATAAACTTTCATTGGCCACAAACTCTGATGGATACTTTCAGTTACAGAATAATGTTTTAAATAGTACAAAATCTAACACCACTGAAGTATGTTTCAGCAGGTTTTATTTTCACCAGTAAAATTTATTATTAGATGCTCTGGGTCCTAACCTCATGTAAATAGTCATCTGATTCCCATCCCCCAGTCGATTTTCATTTTAGTTTCAGCTGTTCACAGCATTGGTCGGTGGTAATATTAGCACTGAATATAACAGTGTATTGAAAGGAAAGTATGAAATTGTCTAAGAACACTTAATTTCTCCAGAATTTAATTAACATTTAACAATGATTTTTAGGTAATAGATGGAATTGATACTAGTTTTGACCTAGTTTGGGACGTTTTGGCAGTACTCACTTGTAACTGCTGAGTTATGAATAATAGTCCAGTACAGCAGGATTTTCATTGCTTCCAGAAAAGATACTGACTTCATGGGATGCGACTGAATTCAGAGTAAATTTTGTCACAGACCAGCATCTTCTGGAGAAGTAATGAAATTCACTAGAAAATGGACGGCTATTCACACCTCGACAGTTCGCATGCTGGTGGGTCATGAGAATTTACTGACGACTTCAAAACTGGGTTTAGATAAATTTCCATCTTGCTAAACTCTCAGTACTTCTGTGTCTTACGTCAGTCCATGACGATATCTGTATTAAGATAAGAATCACTAAACGCAGCACCGACTACACTGATGGTACTGTTTCATTCCGGAAAAAGCAAAACACTTAAACTTCTAGGGTGTTTTAATTTTAGCTCCCCCTACTGACCCAGCGCTCACTTTAAAAGGTTCTGATCAGGTTGCAACAAATTCACATAAGTGACTGCATTATGACGTTTAGTAGGATCAAAGCGACAAGTCAGTGAAGAGGAAAAAGTCAAAACTGTAATAAGATGACAACCAAACAAAGACTAAATAAGCCATTTGCAATGCGTTTGTTATGATATCTGACATTTTTACCCGAAAGAACGTTTACATAATTCATGCACTTTACACAGATGGATATTTAATCTTCAACTCCGCTTTATCCATAGTACTGAATAAACAGGTCATAACTTAAGATTTTATTTATCTGTCTGTTCTGCACATGGTATTTTCCCCGGGTCACTTATACCTAAAATTGTTGAATATGGAGTCTTTTTCTTTAACCGATAAAATCCAGGAATCTTAACCTTTATGACTTGTGAAATATAAAGTGAAAAAAAAACATTTACCCTAAAATAAATTAGCAAAAAATATACTACATAAAAACACAGATAGATCATAAGGAAATTGCTTTTATACCAATTCTTTTCCTTAGTAAGAAGCATATGAAGCTTATTGCTGAAAAGAAATATGTTCGGCTGAAATCATATATCAGTACTTCAAATGAAACTGTGGTAAATAAGACATGGATGCTATGGGCTACTCACTGAACAGTATAACCAGTTGGATGCTACTCATATCAACCAGTAGTCCTTGCTGACCAGATCGATGATCTTATCGCACGTTTAGGGCAGAAGGCATCATCCATGTTCTCCTTCTGATTCAGCTGAGACAGCAGAATTAGTTCAAAACATCCTAATCCCAGTTATTAATGTCCTCTGAACAACGAATTTTCTCGTATGATTGTAGTATTAAGTAGTACATCACTGTTGTAAAAATGTCGAGAAATTTCCATGCTAACATATACGGAAAATATAACATATATTATATCAATATATTAGTAGAATAATCTCACTTACAAAGTTATTATCGACGGAATAGACAGTAATTGGATCACACATTATTATTTCCGAAGTTTTGCTTCCTGGTATATTCTAAATTTTTAATATATTCCTTTGTTTAGCTCATTCATATGATTGGGATTATATGGACAGGAATTGGTACGGTTGGATCAGTAATAACAACATGCAGTATGTTAACTGCCATACTTCTTTACATCTTATATCCGTAAGTATTATTGACAATAATCTACTCATGACTACATCATTCATGATGTGTATTAAATGAAGCGTTTTTCCGTCATTTAACTCAGAAACACTTATTTCTAGATAAGATTTTCAAATAAGAAATAACCATCAACAATGGAGAGATTACGGAACTTGTCGACTTTTGGTAGGATTGGTGAACTAAATACTCTATATTTAGTGAGTTGCATACCATGGAAAATACATAAGGATGTATGCGATTAATAAATGCAGGAAAAAGAACCTATCAGGTTACAGGATTTCATCATGAGCTGACATCAGTTAGAGAACCATTGGAAAACCTGGGAGTACTGGACAGCTGTTTTGTCAGCCTAGTTTGGGACTCTTCATCAGTACGCACCTAACACCAGGGGTCGAACCCAGGACCTTCTGGTTGCAAGGCGAGCTCGTATACCATTAAGCCACTGGGACTCGATTTAATGGCCCATGAATTCTAACTTCTGCCAATTCACGATATAGCGCAACCGCTAGCCAATGTCTTCCACGAGTATTTGTCCTCACACCCGACCTGCTGCACCCTACCGGTCACGACTTCCCACTAGAACCGCTGGTAACTACCTACCTGAATAGGGCCAGTCATCAGTGAGCATCTCTATCTGTCATCTCGAAAAAAAGGTGAAAATATCTCACAAATCAAGTTCAGATAGATAAAGTGGGCGAAAGTATTTTCTGATGTTGTTGTTTTCCCTGGACTGGATGGTTTAACTGAAAACTTTTCATTGTCTTCCAGAAAACATTTTCAGCTCTAACTTCACACCAAAAATATCTAACTGAGATATGTATCTCCTCCAATGTTTCAAAGTACTCGTAAGGGGTGTTTATGAGGAGTTAATTGTGATGAATCACAGTTCAGTTACGTTATTGTAGCAAACTGTCAGTTATCGGGTAGAGAACTTGGTAATATTAAGAAATATAAATTTAACAATAATAGTAAGGAAACGAGTTAAGCTAGAGGTTAAAAAGTCGTTGTGATAATGAAATTGTCGGAGGATAGTTTTAACCAAGATGAGAATAATAAAAATATGAAATAAAAGAGTAATAGTAGTATTTAACAAAGTGAAAGATACTACAATGGTAGATTCAGAGTGACCACCATTTCCGCTTGTATACGTAGATCCGATTTGTGAACCATAATCTTACAAGCTCTGGTAGTTGCAAGTGTTCTTCTGTTTGTTCTTCTGCTAACAACAGTGAAAGATTTGACAGTGTCAATATCATGTCTGTAGTCTAAAAGATGGTATTTGTTTTCTATCAAACTCTTCACTTTCATGGTTTCGGTTCATTTCATCCATTTCGGCGGACTCTCGATCGTGAGAGTAGGCAGTGACTTTTCTGTAAGACATATTAACTGGATTCAAAAATACAATTGAATTGATATACATGGAAGTGTCAAGGACTGGCGTCCCATCGTACTCAGCCTGTTGCTGCAACTGCTTGATGATATTAAGAAATATGAGTTTCGCATTACAGAATTTCCTTCTTATAAGCTTTGCGCAGTCTTTGTCTACTAACCTCTTGTATATAATCTCCTTTAGGTGGCAGACTGACGTGCGCATGCTTTTATGAAACTGCTACGACAATGTTATAGACATTCATTACTTTAAAATACTTGTTGGTAAATCTCTTAGGGCATCCGCCGTTAGATAAAGTATACTTCAGGGTCTTTGTTTCATATTCGTATCTACTGTCAGAGCAAACTTTCCTTGATCTATTGAATGATTTGCTAAATTTCTGTCATACTGAATGGGGACAAAGGTCTTAAAGTGTGTATACCGTCCCGTCTGTCAAAACTAACCGGATGTTCAGTTCATGTACACGAATCCAAAAGTATTAAAGTTGTGAAAAATACATTATCCCTGACTGGTGTAATGAAATTATTTTACGGTGGATTTTCCTTCAGTTCCACTTCGGTTCACACATGTTCTGATGAAATTATATGGGTTTTTAAGTGTTTATTGTGACCTATTACCTTTAAAATCTCTTTAACTTGATGCCTTTTGTGTACTACTTATTGTTTAGCCATACAAATGACTGATTCGATTCACTCTGAGATTGTGGATTAATGGAGAATCTGTGTGATGTACATATAATCATATGAAATAAATCATACTGACTATTGAGCATGAATTAGTAACTGACATTTAAAAAAAATGTGATTAACGGTTGACCGGGCAACAAACCAATGGTGACTTTTCACGTTACCCATTATTTCATACCAGATTCAATTTTTACTGTCTTGAATCTAATGAAGTAAACTACGTAGTGATTTTCACAGTCGATACATTGTGCCAATTATAATGTAGTATAGATATATCTAGCAGTTGATGGTAAGGTATGCAATGCGAGTCACTTCTGAATGTATAAAATGTTATGCCCTTAATTTAATTAACAAATCATGTAAAAAAAGGAGCTGATTAGCAGGATAACATGACGTTTATTTATTTTGCTTGTTTGCACTGGCTGCAAGTATATTCACTAACGGAATAAACGAAAGTCGGTAAGTGCTGTAAAACTTTATGACATGTCATGTCTTATTAGTATGTGTAGAAAACATTTGGATTCTTCACTATGAATAAAGTTGTAGAAATAACTTTAAAAAGTAGTTATTGAAAGGAAGATATATATATATATATATATAATCATAAGATAATTATGTTAGGATTTCAGAATGGTGACGATAAAGAGAGAGGAATATGTTACTGACTACTACAATGATGTGCGACTAACGTCTATCTTCTCTCAATATAATTCCTAACTAATCCATTTAAGAAAAATGGTTTTAATAATTGAAAAAAAAACGCCTTCCATCCAGTTACTTCTTCTGTTACTACTTCTGAACTCCCTTAAAGGCTGTTCACAAATTTTGACAGTCTTCATGAGGTTTGATTGCCTTAGAAGCAGTAAAATTGACCGAGGACATAAGTCATCGTATTAATTACGAAGAATTTCAAACCATTATTGATGAAATCATTAAAAGTTTAGTAAAACAAATAATAGGAGAAAGGAAGCATTCCCCGTGAGTTTTCATATACTGATTATAAGTGAATAATTTTCATCAAATTTTATATTCACACAAAATTTTAATTGTTATATCACTTAAATTCGATAGTTACAAGTGCCTCTTTTATTATGCATATGTTGATAGCAACCACTTGAACACCATTAAGTGGACACTTATGTCGCAAACTAAAATCATTCAGGTGTAAATCATTTTCTTTCATTATTCAGAACAGCAGTCCTTGTCACATCACTGACTGTAAACTAGTCTAGTGAATTTTCTATTGAGTTTAACTGATGCATCATATCTGTAAGTTCCAAGTAGAGGTTCAACAGGTTAGCAAATACAGAATCTGAATATACAATGAGTAAACGTCAGCAATAAAAAATTCTGCTGGAAAATTTTGTATCTAGAAATTACGTTTTGTAGTATTACATTTTATTTAAACTATGGGGAAAAATGTAGAAAGGGAAAATCATTTCTTTGCTTGTTTGTTTTTTCGGCGTAAATACTAAAAATGCACTTGTTTGAATGACAAAGCAAACAAATAAAGCCATCTGTTTATTAATGACATCTTAGCTACATGGATTTCAATTTTTCAGTATATTCTTCAAGTGTGAAACTGAACGCTAAATACAGGTTGGTCATATTTGTCTTCTGAACATTTGAGCTATTATACTGATAATCTTCAATCTTCCATGTCTAATGTAAATCTTCTTTTCGCCTTATAAGTGGATTCGTTACATAATAAAATGCACTTTTTAATTGCCATTGTTTTCATAATTACATGGACTACGCCTACACTTGGTGGAGTTATTACTCGATTATACTAATTACACTTGTAATGGAAAGGGTAAGTGATAAATTGGTTAGGAACGAAAATATTAAGTTATTTGTACGCTACTACCTGTTACCTGCTTCGTTTAGAACCTGAAAAAATCTTTATCATTAATTATCATGACCTAAACCACTAAATATTTATGCTTGTTTACACAATATAAAAATGCCCAGGATTATCACTCCCACCCAGACTCTGAATGAATGTTTATTCTTTTGGCACAGCAGTATAAAAATATTTTGTAATCTACAAATACAAAGATATATATTGCTTTCATACTGTAAGATGAAAGTTAAAAATCGCGAATGCTTTAATCATTAATGAATTCGCTTTAAATTGTGATGCTTTTATTTTCAAGAGTATACAGCTGAAGTTAAAGAAGTGTTTAGTGTAAAAGAATACTGTCAATTTGCACCTTAGACACAGTAGTAAGAAATCTAAAGTCTTTCTTTTGGGGCATGGTGAGAATCACTGGTATTTGCCAAGCAGTTGCACGGATCACCGAGGCTGAAAATTTTCCCAGATAGAATTATTAATAACGTAAGAGTAGAATTTGCATATTGTGACAGAATCTAATTCCATACTAGACAAGTTTATTTGGTATAACACGCTGTGATACAGTATTATAAACTGGATAACGTCTCGAGCACAATTTATTCCTCACGACTATATCAAGAGAGTGCTGACTGTGAAGTGTCGAAAATCCTTATAAATTACACTCAACAGCAATATGATGAAGCTATATGCCAAGTGATTAACAGAAAAAGCTCATTGGAGTGACTGAAGTGAAGACAGAAGTACAACAAGGGTTGTTCCTATCAATCATGATCTTATTAATTGTATTGGACCAGGTAATGCAACAGGCAGTGGGCAGTGAGAAGACAAATAAACGTCAAAATGACAAAAAGACCCTAGAAGATCTGAATTTCAAGGATGATTTATGTCTCATTTTCTCCAAACTCGAAGATTTACAAGAGAAACCAAAAAGTTGAAGGAAAAGACAGCAAACACAGTACTTCAGATGTATATAGGAGAAACAAAGATAATGACAAAATACGCCAATCACCATCAATGGGAGGAGTCTAAAGAAAGTTGTATTTTTTATTTACCTGGGGCTCACTGTCTTAACCACAAAGAAGACAGATGAGGATATCAGAACCGCAAAGCAAGACAGGCGCTCATTACTGTGAGGTCAGTGTGGAAATCTACAACACTCATTCAACACAAGGACAGGATCGCAATCTTTTACACCTATATTAAGTCAGTGCCTACATATATTTCAGAGACTTGTCACACCAGTCACCAGAAGCATTTCCAATAGGCTAACGTAGATCATCACCAACAGATACCTCTGCTGGATAATGCATATCAGACGGTTGACCAGAAGAGATAAGCAACAATAAACTCCAGCAATGAATCAACCAAGAAACAATTACCCAAAAAATATGCGGGTAGAAATGGAGATGGATTAGACATATGCTGAGGAGACCGTTGGATGACATCACACGCCAGTCCCTCCAGTGGAATTCGAGAGGGAAGCGATGGGTTGGGCGTGCTAGAGTGACACGGAGAAGATCACAAGGACAGGGAACGAAAGTTCGTGGGCAATGATAGGCGCAGCTGAAAATGACAGCAGAAAACCAAGTGTACTGACATGCTGCTGAACCTCTATGTTCACTGAGTACGCAAGGAATGAGTTATTTATGTTACAAAGCAAATTAAACATGGGTAGGCTTGCAGTGTTCATAGATTTGTTTGTCTTCTTATGTTCTAAATATTCAAAACTAGAAACCTCAATACACTAATTACAACTTGTTTTATAAACCTACAACTAGTAATTATTTTCCTATAACTAATTCATTAAAACAAATCATCAAGTATTCTTCCTGTCAAATTGTAATTTTCTAGTTTTAATTTCAAAAATTAAACAGTCTTTTACTGAAATATTATTCACATTAAATGATTCACAAAACCGATTATTTACTCTGAATTCTTACTTATTTGTAAGTGATCAATATATACCTCTGTATGTCTTTCAGATGTTTGCGGAATTTTAGGTTTAAAATACACCTTCAACTGTTCTTTGCATTACTATTGGAATCTATTGCCCAAATTATCTTATCTTACTTAATCTTATGTAAAGTGAATCCAATCTTTGCCAGTGATATTGGAAACAACTACATTCATCCAGCATCAACAAGTCAGCAGGGGGTAATGAACGAAAACCACAGTTTCACTGAATTAGTAAGTCAAGTGAAAATTAATTTACCATATATATATATATATATATATATATATATATATATATATATATATATATAATACGTATTATTCCTATTCCTCTGGGTTCCTAGTGAAAAATAGGGTTTCAGTGACATGTCTTTACCTTGTTCTATTTTCTGCTGTCCTGTCTAACTGAGCCCACGATTGGGTGGGCATCTTTTGATAAAGGTTTGCAGTGTCCTGTTTGAAATCCTTTTTGTGATGCGCAGTACAAGTTTCTGACCCGTATAGAAGAAGTGACTGACTTCACATTTGTGTTTAAAATGCGAATCTTATTCCTTATGCTGAGTGTAGAAGATTTCCAAACCGATTTCAGGTTGATGGAAGTGTATCATGCCCTTCCACCTCTGGTTGGCTTTGACATCTTCATCCGTTCCGCTGGCCTGTGGTTGAAACCGTGATTTCTAGTTAATTGAAGGAAGTCAACTGTGTCAAATCTCTCCTGTTGATGGTAGTTGGTGCTGGCTATTGTTGTTGGTTGTTTAGATGGTTATCTTCATCACCACCGTTTTCTCTATGTTCACCTGGAGTCCTTTCTTCACTGCTTCTTCTTGCGGAAGCCCTTAATTCTGCTGAACGGGGATAAGCATTAAATACAAAATGGTGATACCAGTTCATTCATTAGGTGTTACACCAGACAATTTCAAAATAAAACCTGTTGTTATTACTTACACAAATCGTAAGTATATACGACTACAAAAAAATGGACGGCTGCTATTTTGTGTCATAGGTTTCAAGATTTTCGAGACATTTGAAGGTGGGTCTGAGTTATGTTAATCAAGAATTGCGAATTTGAATTTTTTAAATTTCGAATGAAAGATGATTGACCAGTTAATGCTGATTTAATTAAACAAGCATTTATTTACAAATAGTGTTGAGAATATCACGAAAGTAATATGAAACATTTACTAGTTGGAAGTCACTGTAGTTGTCCAACCTCCCATCTAGGCACTATAGTTACCGCTAATACACCATCAGCTTATAAGTTAGTTGTTATTAGACATCTTGTCTAAGTTTTCTGCTTGTTGTATCACCAGCGAAGCGCACTTAAACTTTTGATGAAACCCATATTACCTACAAACTATTTTCAAACTACTCGTTTTAAAAACTGACGCTCAACGGATTTGATCAAGAAATATACAAATAAGTAATAATGATGTCGATAAATAACATCAGTAATAATGATAATATAATAATAACATTATTATTTTTACTAATTAAAAATAACTTGTCAAATTTGCTATGAGTATAACTTCACATGATAATATTTAATTGTGCAAATATGCGAAACTATGATTCACTATCAGGATAAAAATAAAAGGTATTTCTAACAAGAATTGTAGAATATGTCCAAATTATTCACTGAACGTGCGTTGATGGCGCAGCAGTAAAATGCTCGTCAACCAAGCAGGTGGTTCGCGATTCGACCCCCGTCCGACGCACTCCTTTACCTCACTAAACCAGTAATAAGACTGGTTAAGAGGGAAGGTTGGGCATGGGGCTAGCAACCCTATCCCGTAAAAGCAAACACCACTAATAACGAATCTCCAAAGCTCTAGCTTGAAGCCCTATGTTCCACTGGGGAAGTAAAAGGAATAAAATAAATAATAATATAATATATAATAATTCATTGAACACAAATAAGAGATACAGTAGGATGAAGTCACTGAAACATCATTTTATTAAATTGACGTTTTACTTTCATTGTGTTGCTATTTCTTTATCATTCACGAGAAACAACAAAGTGAGAGGAAAATGAATTTCATCATTATTACTTAATTGCTGCCAACATTCACTACATAATGATTGAATAATGATTGTCATTTACAAAGGTGAGGTAAGAAAAAATGCATAGAACAGGTAGAACAGTGAAAATGACCTCAATTAAAGAAAACTAAAACATCTTAAAATCCAACAACAACTCCCTGACAAAAGTGATTACAAAACACTTGCCTATTTTCTTTTATTGCATGGAGGATTTCATCATGAGCTGACATCAGTTAGAGAACCACTGGGAAACCTGGGAGTACTGGACAAGTGCTTCGTCTTAGTTTGGGACTCTTCAGCGGTACTTTCAGGTTTGCCAGTTGTTCTCTAACTGATGTCAACTCATGATGAAATCCTCCATGCAATCAAACAAAAATCCCTACAAAACCAATACTTGAAAATATTTTCTTTTAAATAATCAAAATTTGCGATGCCCGGTAGACCCAAAAGTCGTAGTGAATGTATATCAGCAGTCAATGCAACGAGATTCAATTCCATAAATGGATTATAGGCATGCACATGAAAGAAATTCGAATAGCATAGTGCAAAAACGTTTACCAACATGCTGCATTTGAAAACTCTGTTTAACAACTTTTTCGTCACGAATTCATTTGATTTTTTGTGATGCGGAAACGATAAAATTTCATGTCACGAAACTTCTTTGAGTTTTCGAAATCTATACCATGCATGTGATGTATTGATAAAGACTTTCGCTTAAGTCAATATAAATTCTTCTTTGAAATAAATTTAACTTATCACCCCCAAATAACGGGAAAACTTCCAGTATTATCCTGCACGAATTAAGTAGCAGTCGTGCACACATATAATTTAATAATTTGTTTACAAAATTGTCCCATTCAATGTAATTTATTATGATCAGAATATGTTCTGACGAAACAGTAAGAAACAAGGATGGTTTGATATTGTACGCTTATGTGTACGAATGCTCCTAATTCCAGTGACTACTCTCATATAATATCGGGGAAGATAAAATCTCATCGGGTAAATTATTGGGCTAGTAGCTCGAAGCACTTTCGTGCCAGTGAGTACAGCAACAGATTATCTGTTATCACACAACAAATGCTTTAGACAAAAAATGTCCAAAAATGACTTTCATGTGTTTTTCAGAATTGGTTTATCCTAGTATATATATATATATATATAGCAGTTGTAAAATATTTTATCTTAATCCTCTTAACATTAATACTCCATTAGTTGTTTAGCTAGTTTGCGTGATGCGACTACTTGTGAGGAATTCCTAGAAATTATTATGCTTTTTTAAAGATTTTTGTTTCATTCGGTAATATCGTCTCTTACCACGCATTACAGTTTATAAAATTTGCCCTCTGTTTGAGTTAAATGTCCATATAAAGAGTTAATTAAGACTTTATCTCAATTGTTGAAATGTAAATAAAACGAACACCAACGAGAAACCTTTACTTTACTTGAGTTTATATAAAAATCTGTATATAACTTCCGATTAGAGAGAAAACCTATTTGAACTGATTTCATTTCGTTGCTGAACTGTTAGGAGTAGTGAAGAATATTTGCAGTCAGTGGTTTAAATGCTGTAATGGATATTTCCTCTGAGGTCGTAACCTATAATTCAGTGAACCTGTAACACTTGAACCACTGTATTTAGTGCAGTTTGATAAACAGACTATGATGACTGGCATGATATTGTCTCCCAGGCAAAGAACACAAGCTAATGAACCACTTCAACAAGAACAGTGGATACAGAAAATTAAATTTTTCCCTCACTGTGTTTCTCATTCATTCAATAGAAATAGTTTAGCTGTTAATCAAACTAGATCTAGCGAACTTTCTAAATGATTTATTGGTTTGTTGTAAATTAACTTTGATTTTTTGTGAAATTACTTTTTTATTTAAATAGAAATATCTACTTATTCAGAACACTATGATAATTATTTGGGAATTAAGCCAGACGTGTATTTTCACTTGGACATTTATTGAAGGTATTCATATACATGAGTTGATAGTTGTATCTGTATTTCAAACATCAGTGAACATGTACCCTTTAATGTTTGCAGCATGGAGTAAGTGAATGTTATTTATTTCCTTATTTGACTGAAATTTTTGTTGTAATTTTTGTGTTCAAACCAAGTCCAGATTTAATAGTTTGAAGGAATTTAGGCATTAAATATATGATAATCATTTGTATTTCCCAACAGTATCGTTTTGTATTTCATTCATTGACAAATTCGAAAAGTTTTTATAATAATGAGATTTTATTTAATTTACTAAATATTTGCAAATGGAACTACTTCGTCGACAGAAATATGTATGAATTATATTTGTAAAATCTCAGCAAAATTGAAATGAGTAATTCCAACGTTTCCGACTTCTTCAGGGAAACTAATCAAATCAAAATAACAAAAGTTTGTGTATAAAAGGATATCTCTTGTTTTTAAAAACTTCGTCCAATCATGTGAGTCATGAAACAGGCATCAAAATATAATAATTAAATTTGTAAGAACTGTGGTCAAAATTTGACCTCAGACTTCTGAGAAACATTAGTCTACTTTTGTTAAACACTGTAAACAGTGTGTTCTTTTTCATCAGAACTTTAGTGATAACGTTCGACTAAAGTTAGTGGTCGAAGATAACTGAATATGCTAAATATATGTGAATATGTGGTATACAATGTGTGTGTGCGGTAAAAATTGTAAATCACTTGTTAACCTCTCCATATGAAGATACGGACAATCGGGAATTCGCATCAAGCATGATTGATTAGTGATGCATATGCTTTCTTATTTATCAACCATGCATCAGTTAACATCACACCTTCATGTCTGTTCAAACTTTTGGGATTTACACAAGTATGGAGGGCTTATGAGGTCAATCTTTCTCCATACGAACCTTAGTCCAATCAAAGTTGATCTTCAGTCTCGTTTCTATCTAGTGCAGTGCAATCACTGATCTGTTTTCTACCTTCTTCAAGTCCGTAGAGGTCTTTGTAGACATTGTTTATACTCCTTCACTCTTATATTTACCTGTTTGAAAGTTTTTCCTACATATATGGAGTCATAATTCTCACAATTGATCTGGTTCCCAAAATTCTTTTGGTTGTCTTCTATTTTATCCTTGACCTTCACCAGTGATGAGTGTATGGTGTCCGTTGCACTCCGTTGATATTTCTTAGTGTCTTTTCTCCATTCCTTGAAATATAGGACTCTAAGCTTTTAAATTTTCAGTAGTGCTGGTGCTGCTTTCACGAGATGGGGTTGCTAGTCTTACGCTCAACCCTCCCTCTTTTCATGACTAGTAAAGTAGACGAGGTTTAGGACACACTTGAAATAATACTGATTCTTAAATGTAATCTGTAACTGATATACGAACAGAACTTGGGTACTTTGGTAGAGTATAATTCCATCATAGATTGAATCTACTTGATATTATCATGAGCAATAAATTGTGCTCAAAACGTTATCAGTAAATAATACTGTATAACACTGTGGGACTTTATCAAATAAATTTGCTTTACAGTGGAATTAATCTATAATCTTGTAATTTACTGAGTTTGAGACAATATTCTAACAGCACAGCTACTGCTACAGTGTTATCCAACTTTAGCAATAATCGCATCTAATGACAATACATAGCAAGGTTTTCATAGAGAACACCAAAGGAATAAATGAAACTTTAAACAAGACACAATGGAGCAAACATTTTTATTCTATCCCAGTGAAATACTCCTTTCTTGTATAATGTTTATGCTCTCCTCATCTATATTTTTATCTAATTCATTTTTATTTTCTCAGTTGTCCCTATTTTCATAACAGGATTATGGCTAGCTGCATGGCTATGCGTGAATTCTATAGATGTGTAAGTTTTAACTGATGTCTTCATAATGTGTAAAAAACATTTTTAATCACATTTGATTTCTAAATACGTTTTCATCTATAGAAATTTCTCCTGATTACTTGAAACCACGACTTCTTTCACAGTATTTATATATGCCTAACAGTTGTGGGGTGATGGAACTGGCAAATTTTCTTCTTTTCACATGATTAACGGAGTTCCTAAAACAATACTATTGTGAAACAAAGACCTGAAACAAAAAAATGATTTGTTTCATAACACTAGCAAAAGCTTTTTTGTGTATGACTACTTCATTTGTTTCTGAGACAAATTCATTACCGAACAACATAAACTGACGAACTGATAAGGATCAAAGAACCTTGATTAGTCATGTCGACTTGGTTAGGAACTACATAAGAGGAGCATTAATGACTATCAAACCTCTTTCATTTTTCGTTTTCATTCCTTTGCCTTCTGAGCGAAACACATGGATTCAAGCTTCAGTTATGAAGTCTCATTAGTGGCTATTTTCACAGGGTAGGGTTCTTAGCTTCACGCCTAACTTTCCCTCTTCATCGGGCCTCCTACTGACTTAGCGAAGTTTAGGAATGCGTTGACCAGGAGTCGAACTGGGACCACTTAAACTGTTGACAAAAATTCTACAATAGTCTAACCCTCAAATGTTGTGTCAGAACCCCGTGATTCATAAACTCTGATATTAAAAAGGGTCAGTGTTAGCATATCTGTAGTGTTCTAAATATGATTCTGGTTATAATACTATAGTACATCCACATTTTCACGTTCTGCGATGTACTAATGCTGTACACGATCAAAGATGAACAACGTTGTATTAAGGAACACACGTGAACGCGAAAAGGAACGAAAAAGTATATAAAACCAAGTAAACATATATATAAGAAAACGAAAAGCAATGTTCAATAATATAATGGCAAGTATTCGACAAGCATACGTAAAATTAGTTTCTGTAAGCGTATAAAATGTGTACATGAATTAGTTTTATAAACATACAGTTAGAGTTAAAATACGGGCGCTACATATCGGATTGTGTTTCTTCTAGGTTGAAATACTGAGAAGCTTGAATATTTTGATGAATGTAAGGCGTTATTTAACGCGTGATATTCAAGATGATGTATTTTGGAAATGAGAATGACAATTCTACTGTTGAGATTTTATCACGTAATTCAAGTTCTTAAATTTGTTGCTGTTTATTGGAAATTTATCTTCCTTATCTTTCGAAATTCTTCCTATTACCTTTCTCTTTTTGTGAAAATTAAATCTTTCTGACTACATTGATGATTGTAAACCTTACTACATCGAATCCAACTATGTTATTCAATTATACTTAGGTTATTTCCCATTTATTGACACATGTCTCCAAGAATTTTCTTGTTCTTCTCAAGGTAAAATCCTTCAAGATTTTCAATCCTATGTAAGTCAGCATTCAGGTCGTTTACATGAAGACTACTTTTGTATTTACAGTCGACTTGGTCAAGTATATTTAACTTATTTGTATGGTTATTGGCATGGTGGAAAGAGCTATCTTATGTGTGCGCGATATGTTCATCTAGAATTAACTTAGAAAACAATATCTAGAATTCAGACTCACAAACAATCATTCAGACAATATGTTTGCAATGGACCTCCCTAAGTTTCGTTATGAACTAGTAACCATTGAAATTAGCTGAGTCGGAAACGAAGATAGACACTCACTGACAACATTTGGTGGCGGTGAATCTATGTCGCAAAATTCAAGAAATCAGAACTCATAAATCAATGCATTCCCCTCCATTGGTGCATGACATGAATCTATTGGGTTAGTGTCCTAGTGAAGATATTTGTGCGAACTGGTCAAGAGTGTCGAGGCATCCACTAATTCCTAGAAACGGCACTGATTTTACACCATTAATATCAACAATATATCGTAGTTTCATGTTTTCAAAAAGAATTATCACATTTTAACATTTAACAATACTCTAAAAATAAAAGCTGAGATTGTTATTATTACTGTTACTATTACTTTTAGTAGTGACAGTAGTGTAGATGTAGAAGACAGAAGTTTATGGTATCAGAATTGTGTATTTGGAAAATGATATATAGTGACACCAAAATATAGAAACCTTACACTGAAATTTCCATTTGCGAAATTCCTTCGTATTCTGCTTCCTTCCTATTTCGTTGATGCTTTCTATATTGTTGAAAACAAAACACGTAGTTCAGTGAAGAGTCTCTTTTCGGCGAATTCATTTTCATAGCTGTACAATCGCAAATATATATGGTTGTTTTGTACGTATGTGTACAATAAGTTTATCAAACAAAAATACAATTGGTTATGGTTATTTTACCTAGACAGGTGAAGATTGGTTGTTGGAGTTACGTAATACAAAATCAGTCAAGAAAATTAGGTGTTAATGAAATTAGGGTAGTAACAAAGGTGATGAGTTGTCATAAACAGTTGTTAAAAAAGAAGTTATGTAATAATATGAATAGTTTGATGATTGAGTTTTACTCAGGATGCACATAGGAACAAAGTAGATAATACGAAATTACGTAAGAGTTCTAAATGAATACGAGAATTATAAGCAATTAAAGAACAGGCAAAGAAACAAAATCAAGTCATCAAAAAATCAAAAAAGTTGTTACCAAGACAGTAGAAGTAGTTGAGTAATTCCCTTTTGTATGCACAGCTCCGATTTTTCTATGTGAATGGCCAGAGCTTCAGCGATACAAAGAAGACGAAACCGTATTGCCTTTGGTAGGTTATTCTTGACTCTGTAGATTACTTTGAAGCAGGAGGCGTTTGTTGAGATGGAATGATCAGTGTTAACCAGGTGTTCAATTATCGCACTCCTTATTGCACCACTATTGCCTTTTCACAACCATGCTGGATAGTGTTCTTGAATCCTCTTGAACAGGGTGTGCGTCTAACGACCTATGTACCTGGCTCCACAGCAGCAGGTGAAGTGATATACGCACATAGAAGTGGTCAGATGCGGGATCTTGTCCTTGAGGCTTCTGCAGATCAGTGGGCGACTGGATTTTCCATTTCTCCTCTTTGCTACTTGATGCTCCACTGTGCCATTCATTATTCTTGCAGAAGACAACGCACAGTATACTACTTGTAAATTTTTATCAGTAGCACAGGCTACAGTGGTAGTAGTAATAATAATAGCACAATTACGAAACAAGCAAAGAAAAGCATAGGTTTCATCGTTTTTAACTCAGAATTATGCAGTGGTGTAATCAGATAATGCCATTATTGAACAAGAAGTAAGTTCTCACTATGAAAATTGATCTAATCATCTTAGAAGTTTATTCCCTTCAGATAAGTGAGAGATAACTTGCCTTACTAACTTGTTCTGTAAAAGCATTTTGGCATACACCTATCTGCTAGGCAACTCAGAGAAATGCTTATATTCAGCACACTTTTAACCAGAACGCATATATTTGTAATAATTACAGTATAATAATGTGGATTTTTCTAACAGTCTTTATTCTTTCATTGCACCATCATCCAGAAACTGGTCTTCTTATACGTTCCACGCAACCTACTGGATACCAAATAGTTTCAGATTAATTCTACTATCTGTAAGTAGTTTTTAATTTCTAATTTTCCGTCGAGTATTGTAAATAGTCCCGACAAATATCATTAGAAATCAACTGTTCTGTGTGAATTCCGTTAGCCCCATAACATACGAAATACGAAGCTTTTACAGACTTTCTATGCTAACTAAATGACTACTGAATTTGAAAATATTTGTGATGAGTGGCATGTCAACAGGAGATCTATTGTTTGTATAGCAGGATCAATTCAGTTGCAATTTCTTAGACTGCAGAAAGCATTAGTATCATTATGTTTATGTTTCGAATCGATGAAATGTAACAATGATGAGGTATTTTGCATCTGAATAGAAATTCAATTCTTAAAATCAACACTCAAACTGTGAACCTGTGTTTGGACAATACAGATGATAAAACAGTAATATTCTCATTTGTTTAAACGCTGTCATTATTCAAGTAGAAGGATGAAAATCCGACCAATAAAAACCAACTTTTATTTTATCCCTTAGATAATGATTAGCCGAAGAACGCATATTTCCTTCTGTTTAGAACTCATCAACTAGGTACATTTTCATTTAAGTGAACGATAAACAGTGTTTTCTATTATTAATCATTAAAACAAAACGTGCTCAGCAGATCCTATTGCTGCCTGTTAACTAACAGATAACTTCAAATTGAGAACAAAAGCATTATGCTAGCTTCCTTTTTTAAAAACACATATGCCGAAATAGACAGTATGAGGTTACAGGTTTTAAAAGATAAAAATTACTGCCATCGCCTGTTACTTTGAGCAGAATAAATCAATAAGTGCAGGCGGGTTTTTTTTAATGGTTTTTATTAATACGTTTTTCATATAAATTCTGGAAAGCTATTCTCGAATCTTTCATTTAAACTAGAAATAACCAAGGAGATTTTTAGTTAGCATGGAAAGTTAGAATATCCTAACCTCATACAAAGAAAACTGCACCATTCAACGGATAATCTTTGGTGTTCACTTGTAAGCCGTAAAAGCCACCATGGAATGCATCAGTGAGGTATCCTAAAAAGAGTGAACACCAACTGATAATCAACATATGCTTATGAGCAATAGTTTATGTTCGAAACGTCATCAGTTAATATTACTGTAGAACACTGTGTGATTTATCAAGATAAAATCTTATCCATAATGGTGAAATGTTTTATTTCGAATTGAGCTTACTGTTCAAATTAAAACTTAAAATAAAATGAGGCATATTTTTCGAATTCTGACGTGAAATGGCAACTGTGAAGGTATGAAAAAAAGAATTAACTAAGGAAAATGATTGTTAAGTATAGAGAAACCTTATCATCAAAAGGGAGGTTCACGTTAACCTACTGTCAACAGGTAGCATGCAGAAAAATAAAGACTTCTCAGCAAGTTTTAAATAAGTCAGAAAAAAATTGAAATTCTATTTAAGATATTTAGAATGCCAAACATCTGAAAACTACTACAGTCAGCACATAGTACAAATTCCCTAGATTTGGTCATCTTAATCTAACTGTATTCTTCTCTCCTCTAATCACACTTTGAAACTTTACTTTAAACCCAGTATGACTTGAACGGTTGCATGCTATTTTAAGTTTATAAGTTTATTTATACATATAAATATATGCACTTGTTTAAAAAAATCTTGTTTTAAGTCTAAAAACGATTCAAGCCTAAGACTTACATTTTATTATATCTGGGTAGACTTTGTTAAATTAGGCCAGTAATCATTGATAAAGTTCCTAAAAAAGTTACTTTAGTTGTAAGCAGTGAATTATCAGAGTTTTATTCCTTGAAAATCATTTGATCAATAAATATTTAAATGTATATATTGAAAACATTACACTAGTGAAATGCGACCAAAATAAACCTTCTGCTAATCATGATGCCCAGGGTTACGGCTTTCAAACAAGTAACGGTAATTCAGAGTGAATCATATTCGAAAGCCTTATAGTTTGCTTATTACCTTGCGAGCTTGACGAAAAGAGTTTGGTCAACAATAAGGAAATGACACTATGAGAAATATTACGCCATTCGACCAATCAGCAAGTTTTTCTCATTCATCACGACATCATTAAGCCTGAAAAATGATACTCAGCATTAATCACAGTTTTTCAGTAATTTAATGATAAAAGAAAAATTCAGCCAAGGAAATTTTCTCTGTTGACGAAATCATCTTCAGAGGCTGTACAGTCGTATTTATATTTACCAAAAATGTATGATTGTCTATTATTGAGTGATAAGGGGTTGACATAATTGATATAATTAATCAGAAGTGGCTTTAGAAGTAAAAATAAAAGTCGTAAACTACGAAGTACTCACCGAAAAAAGGGTTAAATTGTTATTGAGTGAGAAGAAGATGTCAATTTAACAGGTGTGAAGAGGGTGAGAAAGTGTACAAAAGGAACATATGAGAATGACAACAGCGAATTAATTATTAAAGCAAAAGCAAACTAAAAGCAAAATTAAAAATTGCAGGGAACGATTAGTGAAGAGGTTAAGACCATGGTAGAATAAGAGATTGGACAACCGTTTTCTGTATACAGAGTTCAGGGTTATATTGACGAATTGCCTCCGCCTCCGCCATACTCAAATGCCGAAACCTGACGCCCTCTGTACGATTTGGCCTCACGTTGTAGATGATCTTGAAAGACGGCTCTGGCGGAGCTACGTGGCTTGAGTCAATATAACCCCGAACTGTGTACACAGAAAAAGGCTTGTCCAATCTCTTATTCTACCATGGTCTTAACCTCTTCACTAATCGTTCCCTGCATTTTTTAATTTTGCTTTTAGTTTGCTTTTGCTTTAATAATTAATTCGCTGTTGTCATTCTCATATGTTCCTTTTGTACACTTTCTCACCCTCTTCACACCTGTTAAATTGACATCTTCTTCTCACTCAATAACAATTTAACCCTTTTTTCGTTGAGTACTTCGTAGTTTACGACTTTTATTTTTACTTCTAAAGCCACTTCTGATTAATTATATCAATTATGTCAACCCCTTATTACTCAATAATAGACAATCATACATTTTTGTAAATATAAATACGACTGTACAGCCTCTGAAGAAGATTTCTTCGGTAAAGAAAATTTTTTTCGTTTAGTTTTTTATTTTCTTTATGACTCTATGGGTATTTTCTCTGATTTCATTTGATCACATTTACTTTATCAAGTGTGCTCAACAGAATAGAGAAGTTAGATAAAACAAACCAATTGAGTTAATGACAGTTACGTTCCTAAATTAACTGTTTTCAATTCGAGTAACGTTTATTTTTATTCATTATTGGAGTCAGTGAATTGACTTACGTTATATGTATACGTTTTTTTCATAGATGAATATGGCTTTTCTTATTAATGTAATTCGAGTTCTTGTTAGGAGGCTTCATACAAACGAAGCGCCAGAAATGCAAAAACTAAGGTATGTTGTATTTTGATCGTATCTCTTCCCCAATGTTATTTTTACTGAAATTGGAAATATCTGTGGTTCTCAACCTTTAAATGTGATGTTAGCATGTATATATGTGATGTAGTCTCTGGTCGAAACTGAAAGATTCTCAACTTTATTAATAATGAACTTGATAAATTCATCTATATAACTTTAAAAGACGGTAGAGCATATGCAGTATTGGCCAGCTGTTATTACAGTTATCGAATTCTGAAATATCTCTCAGAAGATTATTATTAGTATTTACGATGACACTGAAATCAAAATATAATTAAAGTTTCTAGTTTATAACTGAAATTTAAAGTTATCAGTTGATAATACAAATGACATCAATTACTACGTGATACTTGGACGTAAATACACGCCTTTCCTGAAGCTGCGTGTTTTTCAAATGAAAGATAGCAAGAAGTATATGAAGCCTTCTTTTGACTCTTTCAAAATACTCTGTACCATAATATGTAGTACAATGTTAACTCGATTTACACATTGTAAATTAGTGAATATATCTAAGGATCGGGATTTGTATATTCCTGTACAGGTAGAGATATATTAGACTTCTCGCATATGTCAAAAAACTACTAATCAAGGAATAGATGAAGAAATTTATTTATTTTTTACTTTTATTTTCGATTATAGCTTGATGCCACACCGTATTTTCAGTACAAGTATGGAATTTTCAGCATGGATATCGGTAGCCCAAATTTTGCAGGCCGACCATAGATATCAGTTGTGCGTCGGCTGGAGATCGAACCCCGGACCATGTACATGGTCGGCGAGAATCCTAACCACTGTGCCACCGACGCACAGTGACGCACATATGACATAAACTCCATGGATGGCAAACACAGCTATAGAAGATCGTGTATTTTTTTCATTTGAGTAACTAATTAATCACACCAAAGGGCCAAACGTCATGATACGGATTCCACAATTTTTCTACACACTAGCATTTTTGTCCACAAAATGTTTGGCACTTAACATATAAAGAATTTTGTAAATGATATTTAACAGGAGCTTTAATTGGAACTCGACAACCATTCGATGTAATTCAGTTGACTTAAGCAAAAATTGCAGAGAATTAGAGTTCTAGAAAGGATAAGAAACATGGAACTCTGGCAGCGGACCAACCAAGAATTCATCACTTAACAAATATACCGAAGAAAATGGAGATGAATCAGACACATGTTGAGGAGGCCATTGAGTGAAATCATGCGCGTGTACACATCCGGAATGGCTCCAACTCCATTTTGTGCTATTCCGTTGTGCTGTCAACACGCACATTCTCTGAGTTTGTTATTCAGCCATCTACTTAGATAAGTTGTTAATGCCTTTCCCTGAATAGTCTTGACCATTTATTGTACTCAAATATACTGCTCATCAGAGCATATTACCAGTTAACTGAGTGTTTTAATTTGCGTTTTGTCACAAGTAATTTCAAGTTATGTGGAGTACTGAATTATTCAGTAACTAGGCAATTTACTTTTAGTAAGGGCTGGTATAGTGTAGCTTATCAATAGCACTAACAATGTCTTACATCCTTAGCCTTGCTTAATCGGTGGTAAGCTTGGTGGAGAGGTAAGACTGGAAGTTAGGCTAGCAAACCCCACTTTGTAAAACAAAATTTAAAAGACCACCGCCAATGAAACCCTAAAACTCAGTCTTGAAGCCTTATGTTTCACTGAGAACGCAAAGGAATGTTAAACTGATTGAAACAAATACAAAAATAAATGTAGCAGTGACGTGAATGAAACAAAACAGTTTTCACATTGTTATAACAAGGACAGTACAATGTCAATAATTTGAGTGGATGCGTGAAAGGATATTTATGCAGTTAAACCGAATTAAAATCTGATTTAAAATGTCATTTTGTGTATTGTGTGAAGTTTTATATAATCAAAGGATACCAAAACCAAGGTAGATTATTGTCTTGAGGAAAAACTAAGAAAATTTTCAACTAACGTAGTAGGACATTCTGCATCCATTAATATAATGATAAGTACCAGATATGAACATTCATCCTTTCATATATGTTTGAATAATTCAGCCTCATGAAGGCACTGAATCCCACCTACTCACCGGACATTTCAAATTCCTGGTCACTTGAAGGCATAAAATAATCACACACACCCTCGACTTTTTCGGGTCTATAGGGTTCATACACCATACTGCTCAAAATTCTGATAGTCGAATGATACCCACACTAGTAAACCCTCATTTTAATAAAACGCTAACTGGTGATTTTCCCACTTAATAAAACAGCATAAAAGCTCAAAATGTTAAATAAAAAGTTGTCCTTCCAAAGGAGAAGATCAATATTTGATTACCAAAATAGCAATAATATGTAGCTTGTTGATGATGTAATTATGGTTCTGTTAAGCATCTAAGTCTCCAAGACATCCATTGTAGGTGTAAAATGCACCTAAGTAAGCTTTAACGTATTATTTTTGTCTAACATTTAATTATGTATGTTTCTTTATACTTTTAGGAAAGCTGTCAAAGCTGCTGTCCTCTTGATGCCCCTACTAGGAATAACGAATTTTATTGTACTCCTACCAGAGCCAAATAATGTGTTTGGATTTTTTATTGTCTGTGGACTACGTAAAGTCTTACCAACGTGGCAAGGATTTACTGTATCTATAATTTATTATTTTATGAATAAAGATGTAAGTTCAAGGTTGAGAAAGTAGACGGTGGGTTGTGGTTTCTATATCTTTCTAGTGCATTGTACGTCTTCACAATAAAAAGTCTTCAGAAAGCTTTATGTGAAATTTAAATATCATATAATATTTTGAAGTAAGATGAAAATCTGCTTAACTTTTCCTAGGGTCTATGAAGAACTGAAGAAGTATCATGTCATAGACTTATTAGCCAGTGTAATACTAGATTTTTTATTATGCGCTAAAAGCCAGTGACATAAACAATGAACAAGGAAGTGGACATCTGTTGTTTAGAAATATATGTGTGCGAGTGTACTGTAATCTTTGTGCTGAAATAGTTAGCTTTCAGGTGTATTTCTAAGGAACAAAGTTTTGAAGGCTTTATATGCAAATAAAAGTTCCGTTATAATGAATGTTAATTTAGAATATACTTTTCCCAATGCCTTAATTTCCTTACTAGGGTAAACAATCAGTCTCTCTTACTGAATTTTTTTCAAAATGCAGAAAAACTTTTAAAAAATAAATGAAATGTTAAAGTTACTGATGAACTTTAAGTTGTTTCAATCACTTTTTCTTTAATTTTATTGCAGGTTCAAAAATGTTTACAAATGTCAATTAGAAAATTCAAATTAAAACATCAGCTTATGTATCCTGATAATTCTCGTGTTGTCTCACATTCAGTACATCTAACAACAATTCCAGCAACAAGTTCTACATAACATATCAGTAATTACTGAGTTTAAAATTGTCATTTTTTACTTCTAAATACTGTACTAATAATTACAAGGATTTATTATGTAAACAGTAATCTTCGTTACAACTCGTTTTAGTAAACAATTTGAACATGTTGCGATTTAACGTGACTACTTTTAGTTGGTCTTTGTTATTAAATCTCGGCACAAAAGGTATCCAATCACAGTAGTTAAAATGCATAGACATTTTGAGACCAAACGAAACAATCCTAGGTTCAATCTTTGTCCTCTCATGCCAAAAACAACTGATTTTATAGGCTGCCTAAGCAATATGGTTTCGTGACCACATTTACGTTGAACCAATATTTCAAGAGAATTACATGTTCTAAGTCTTTACAGACTTCTGTTCAAAAAAAAGGATCTGAGTGTAGAAAGTGATCTCAGATGAATTAGGAATCAGCCACTTTCATTAAATTAGACTGTAGTGGTATCATGTCATTTCAGGTTTAAGCATATACTTCTTAGTGTAGAAGTACTTTTTGGCTTTCAAAAAAGTTTATTTCATGAAATAAGTCTCAAAAATTACAAAATACTAAACCAATCTGTTGTCGCAAGATTGACTGATTATTGTGCCGAGTCCATTATATCAAGAATTAATCATAATCAAAATCAGAGTGGTTAATCTATAAACGGAAAAATGAACTTGTACGCACTAATCACATGAACAAAAAGGCAGGAAACTGTTACTTAAGATGCCTTTCGCTGACGAGTGACAGGAACGCCTCTTAGCTTTGCATTGGAGTGCTATTAAGGTAATCAAACCATATTCTACACATGTATTCCAACCGTAACCATAACACTAATCTCTTCTTAACCTAACGCTAACGCGAAACTACTCCTAAACTAACCTTAATCTAATTCGAATTAGCCTGAATATCTCCCCTATTAGATTCTCTAAACCTAACTTTTCCTCATCCTAAACCTTAACCTTTCCCAAAACTAACCTTAAACTTACCAGTCATCCCGTTTAATATCATAACGCTTCATTATTATTATTCCCTTGTGTTACGAGTGGAAGATAAGGCTTCAACAACCCATATCCACTTTGTTCCATTTTCTGCTGTCGTCTCTAACTGGACTCATGATTGCCCATTATCTCTCATCTCCTCCTCACACGATCTCCTCCATGTCACCTTCGCACCAACGACCCACTCGTCGCCTTCCATTAGATTCTACTCAAGCAGTGGCCTGCATTGAGCGCGATATCATTCGACGGTGTCCTCGATGGGTTCCTTATCCAACCCCATTTTCTCCTACATATTTGTTAAGCGATCGGCTGTTAGTTGGTCTGTTGCCTCCTAGAGTTTCTTGTTGCTAATTCTTTCTGCCTAGCCATTTGATTTTCTGTATGGAGCCAATGAAGCCGGGTGTTGATAAAAGTCTGTAAACTGTTGGAAATCCTTTTCGCGACACGCAGTGCAAGTCTCTGGCCCGTACAGAAGGAGTGACTGACTTCACATTTATGTTGAAAATCCGAATCTTGGTGTTCATGCTGGCTGAGTGCAGAAGATTTACAAAGTGATTTCAGAGAGGTAAATGATTGTCCTGTCTTTGCGATCCTGACTTTAACATCCTTCTTTGTTCCTCCTTTGGTAGGTACGATGTTTCCTAGATAAGTAAAGGAGGTAACCTCCGTCAAATTTCTCCCGTTCATAGTGATTGATGCCGGTTGTTTTCGCTGTTGGCTGGTTATCTCCATCACTTCCGTCTTCTCTATGCTCACGTGGAGTCCTGTCTTCACTGACTACCTCTTCAGACAATTTGTTGGTTTTCTCCTGTAAGCCTTCTAGTTTTTGTAACATTAAAGATAAATCATATGCGAAATCTGGATCTCCTCGAGTTTTCTTATCGGTCCAAAGTATTCCTGTCTTCTTGCTCCCGACACACAGTTTGGCGCATGATCCAGTCCACCACAATTAAGAATATCATTGGTGATAATAGGCAGCCTTGTTATACTCCTGTATTCACTTCGAACGCTGAGTTTTCCGTTGTGGATCACCCGACACGTGCCACTGGCATATGGTTGTTGAACGAGGTTGATGAAGACATGGAGCACGACGCAGTGTTGAAGTAGTTTCCAAATTGCTTCAGTTACTCCAAATAACGCTTCATCAAGCATATTTTATCCATGATTATAGCATTATTAGCCTGGTTTCCCCAATTTACTGATCAAGCGTTTCTGAAGGTCACTGGTGTAGTCACACTCCTTCGGTACTTTTTAGTGCCTAACTTTGCCTCCAAACCTATGTCGCCTGGAAGTAAATTATGGACTATTTAAATTCTCAGGACATTTTCCAGTTTGAAAGTTTTATTTCGTCACATTGCAAACTCTTTATTTCAGTCGGAATTCTATATAATTTTTAACTCGTGTATAAAATGGCTGATGGATCAGTCTTTGTTTGCATATATAATACACACCCAAACGTTCATGACAAGCATTAAAAACACATCTATACGAACAAACTGTAGACCCAAATATGCAGATTAGCTGAGTTCTGTAATTCAGTAACATGGACAAAATAAAGTCGGTGTCACAGTGGTTAGGACGCTCACCGACCATGCACATGGTCCGGGGTTCGACCCCCAGCCGACGCACACCTGATATCAGTGGTAGGCCTGCTGAATTTGGGCGATCGATATCACATGCTGAAAATTCCATACTTGTATCAAAATACTTTGTGGAATCGAGCTATAATAAAATAAAAGCGACAATGACATGTGCTTAAGAATAAAAAGCAGCAATAATAAATACTTACACTTCTATCGTATAAACAGAATTAGAACACTGAAATTCTCATCTTCGTTTGTGAAATCGCAGTCTTAGTTGATCCTGTTCATTCTATTGAGCTGATTTATCAATGTGTTCATATAATAGAGCGATATTTTCAAGATGCTAGATTGAGTACAGACATAACCTGACACTAGTGTTCTAGGAGAAGAAATTGTTGAGATGTTAATATTCCTGAGAAACCTCTCATGTTTAGCGATTTAGCTTAGTTTGAGTCTGTTAATTTTGTTTTCCAAATCTTTATTCTAAGCCATCAATTCAGGGTTTCATGAATGTCTATCTCATATCATCCTTAATTATCTGTAAACTTTCAATCTGTTAAATGAGTGACCGCTGTTTATCCTGAACATATCTCTCGCTTTTCCTGTTTAAAACAGTATATTATTCCTTTACCAAAAAAGATAACCTTCTTTCATTGTATAGTTCATGCTGGTACATATGACGTTTAAAAAGCTTTTAAACTGTCCAAGTAGGATTTTTAAAAGAGTTCCCCGTTCGTGCGATATCTAACAACTCAATTCCTTCAGTAGTATTCTGCATATCTCTATAGTTCTTTGCGGTATTTTTTTTTACCTCCGGTAGTGTTCTGATAGTTTTAATTAAGACTACAAATAATGTTAAATAAGGTCTTAGGTAATCAAGTTACTTTTCAAAAATTCGCCATATTCTGTACGTTACAATTTGAAAAATAATAGTCTTCACCTCCTGCAAGCTTTTATTATTTTTTTATTTCAGAGTGAAACATAGGGCTTCAAGCTTTTGAAGATTTTGTAGCGTTCGTGTTAATTTTATGGGACCCGGCTGCTAGTCTCATGCTTAGCCTTCCCTCGTCTCCTGGCTTTCTACTGGCTAGTAAACAAGGTGACATTTAAGAGTGTGTCAGCCGGGAATTGAATCCCTGACTACCTACGTGGTTGGTGAGCGTTACACAACTGAACCAGCGACGCAAATTTTTATTTAGTTGTAGATGTTTAACTTTACACTTTCCCCACCGGCTGTCACAAGGCATTAAAAATAAAATCAAACTATTTTATAAAAAAAATAAAAGTACTCTACCATCTAATATTTGTTTTACTTTATTTTTTCATCAAATTTGTACAACATGCATTTCACATAATGTAACGGAAAAACTGTTTTGAAATTCCCTCCTGAACGATCTATATTTATACTTATTTGGTTGTTTCAACTAACTTTGCAATTATTATCCGTTTTTCTCCCAGACTGTATATCATTGTTTTGACATTTGTATATCATATATTGATTGGATCATTATTATTTGTCTCTGCCCTTGTTTGATCTCTAATTTTAATGCTTCTCTCTTTGTTGTTGTGTGTACACTGATAATGTGTTGTACGATATGATTTTGTTTAAGAGAATCAAGGTCATTCTGACTTTGGATTGTCTATGGGAAACATTGGTGTGTGATTCTTGTGGACAGAGATTTTTATCCCATCTTGTTGGGAATATTCTACTTGATTCTAAGTACTTATTATAAGCTTAGAAACATACACTACCTGTATAGCTGCCCAACACTACTGTTCAGAATTATACAAAGATTCCAATTACAAATGGTCGACGTTTTGCTGTCTCTGAAGCGTTTTGTGACTGAGCATTTCTCAAGAGGATTTAGGACAGCTATACAGTGGGAAGCAAGAGTAAGTCCTCTGCGTTAAAGCCACTTCGAGTAGGTTTCGGCAGCTAAACCCAATTGTCCTCATCTAGAACCTACATAAAGTACCTTTTTCTCCTGTTGCACTGTGTCATCATTATTTTATCCACCTTAGCGACAGAAATTTAGTAACTTATATTGTGTGATTCTCTATCAACTGAAATGATGAAGAGTTGTAAGGAGCATGTATTATGAGAGTGATCAAAATCAGTAACCACTAGCCAATCACAGTTTCCCTCCATTGATCAAAGTGAGTGGACCAGCTCTTGATTAAATCTCGAACTGGATTGGCTTTTAACCATTAGCTTTATGCAAGTATATAATTAACGACAAATTCATCAACATTATCACCAAAAACATTATTCCGATATATGTAAGAGGTTCTAAAAAGCCATCATGAAATGTCATGTAGCATTCGTTACGACCAGTTGTGCCAGTAATTGTACCCAAAGAGTGCAAGGCATTTCACGTTGAATATTCTTTGAATAACAGTTTTTACACAGAGTGAAAACACAAGAAACTTATATCCGTGTACACCAAAGAAACATTCATATCCCCTTTTACTGTAATCTACTTTGATATATTTTGCTTGGTGTTAGAAGAATCGATGGCAAGTTAGTCTGAAAAAGGTTAGAAAGTTATCAT